AATATGAATTTAGATCAACTAAACAAGCATGTTATTGAGGAGGCAGAAAAGTGGATGAACTCCTCACATACCAATTAAAGACATGGAGGCAGAGAAGCACCATACGCCATGAGAAACACTCATAATAGTCTCACCAGCCAGTAAGTTTGATTAGTTTTATTACTCTCACTTGTACACTTCCTACATTTTTAAAAGCAAGGGGAAGTTAATTGCACATTTCTGGAATCACAGTGTCATAGCTTGCCCCAGTGATAGGAATTATTGGAAGAGAAGATATCCAGCCTATTTCATGATTCACTTCTGGCAGGGTTTTACTATTTGATATTGAAGAGGAAGAGTACCAAAAAGGCCAGCTCACACAGCAGGAATCCTTTCAGTGTTTCCATCGCCTTGGTAATCTACCTCCAATATCCTAATAACTCTTGTAATTTACTTACAGCTACATAATCTGCCATGGATCTGCTGTTCAGAGATACAGGTAGGAATGCAGAGGAAACATGCCTCATTATGGACAGTTTCTCTCTTCTGAGAGAGAGAGTCATCCTAAAATTTAGCAAGAATAGCAGGTCTTTACTAATTGAGAGTAATAGTGACAAGCTGAAATCTCATAACCTTAGAAAAATCAACACCGGCACTGTTTTCAATTGCACTAAAAAAAAAAAAAAATCCCTCAGCAGCCATTCCATACACAGATTCAAGAAAGACCAGTGAATGCACGAAGCAGATATCCCAGCTCAACACTTGCACTGCGGGATTAGGACTAAAATTCATTGCTTTGCAAAAATAATCTACTTTTTAATCAGTGCATCCAGCTGCAATACACAGGATCCTCTTTATCAGGGTCATAGATTGAGGAGTTTTGCCTTCAGCTGCGCAGGACAAATGCTGGTGCCCACTGCTATGCCTTGATACAGTTCCAGTGCCAACTAGGAGCTAGAGAATGGTGAAAGCCAGAGCAGCCCAAAGCCCATGGGCTGGCACGTGGCACAGCTCTGCTCCTGGAGCATGGTAGGAGGGAGCCCCCAGATCCTAATGCTCCAGCAGCACCTCCAGTGATGCTCTACAGCAAGCAGGAAAAGCTGCCAGGGGTGAGAGCAAGTCAGGGCTGCTGAAGCTGCATGAAGCCATTTTTTCCTTCATGTCTCTTGAGAGGACTCCATGGGGTTCACTCCTGAGCTCTTAAGTGCAAGACATATCTTTTAACTCTTTCCAGCTTGCATTAAACCTTATATAGAGAGCATTTTTGCAAAGCTGATGCAAGCTAAGTCTCTTTCTGGAAAAATACTCATGGTATAAATGCTTCCTTCCCAATAAATACCTCTCTTGATTCTTCCATCCCTATTCCTCATATATGGGAACACTGAAACGTGCTACACCAACCACCAAAGCAATTCATTTTCAATTAGTTTTAGTTGCTCTGTCTCTAGTTAGGCCTCCAAAATGGGCCTTTTGCTAGGTGACAGAGCCTCCTGGACACACAGAAGATGCTCAGTTCTTAAACTGTGTTAGACGCCCCTGGGACAAACACATCCTAATGGTTTCTTTCACTAATGCAATCCATGAAAACATCATATAATCATTTAGCAATTACAACTGTCAGATTTTTATGCTTTTTTTTTTCTATTTTGTAATTGATTATCCCGTAAGAGGCAAACCCAGTGTCCCCACAATAGCAGTCAGGGTCTTTTTTAAATGTTTGTCAGAAATTCATTAGATTAGTAAGAGACATACCATAATGTCAAAAATACCAAGCATTTCAATAATCCCAAATCAAAGCGTCGCTGGACTATTATAACCAGTCCAGTAACTGGTTATATTTTATATATTGTGGTTTAAATTTTAGAACTGTCAAATTCAATAAGAGTGGCTTATCCATGCAATACATTTAAGAGAATATGTTATGAGAGAAAAAAAAAACAGATTTAATTTAGGTGTAACTTCTCAGCATGAGGCTATGCATCTAGATTTTACAGGAAGGTGTGGTTTTGTCTTAATAGCAGCACTTCAAGTCTTCTGAATGGTCCTTTAAACACATTGATGAATATAGTCTTAATAATCAAAGTGACATCTGATCTGATCAGATCTGATCTGATCCTTCTAAGAGCAGCCAACTCAAAGGAGAAAGATGTATGCAATAAGAAAGTATGCTGCCTTGCAAAATACATATTCATCTTCTCATTAAATTAATATTTTTAAATATTTTTTCATGAATTCTATGTTCTCTCAAACAAGTAGCTCTCTTTTCCTCGAATGGCTGTTTGTAGTGTTCTGCCGAAGGTTTTACATGCAAGCTATTCCTATATATCATTCCCTCAACTGCAACCTTTGAATTTTACTTTCATATATATATTTCCATAGGTGATTTGCTTTCTGATTATTGCCTCCTGAGGAATAATTCCATGAATGAAAATAAGGGGTAGTTATCAGTGATAAGTGATGATCCTTTGTGAACCCACATGAAATGCTGCAAGAACCCACAGCATGAAATGTCCAGAACAATCTAAGAAAACACTTTCATTAATGACCCACAAGAGGGTGAAAACAACATTGAAAGATGGAATAAAGTACAATGAAAATGCAAAAATATAGAACACCCTTGAGCAGTTAGAAACTTATGCAAGAAAAAGTAAGGGGATATAGAATTATAAATATTATGAAGTGAATAAACTAATTGCCAGCTGTCTTCCAAAAGACTAGTATGAGGCTGAAATGCTGCAAGAACCCACAGCATGAAATGTCCAGAACAATCTAAGAAAACACTTTCATTAATGACCCACAAGAGGGTGAAAACAACATTGAAAGATGGAATAAAGTACAATGAAAATGCAAAAATATAGAACACCCTTGAGCAGTTAGAAACATATGCAAGAAAGAGTAAAGGGATATAGAACTATAAATATTATGAAGTGAATAAATTAATTGCCAGCTGTCTTCCAAAAAACTAGTATGAGGTATTAAATGATGCTAGTAAATTCAAATAAAGATTTGATCCATACATGCAGTTCTGCATGGAACTTCTTGCCGGAGGATGTTAAGATAATTACATATGTTTAAACTCCCTGAAAATTGTCAAAGTATTCAGCAAGTATAGTTTCATATTTCTCTGTTCATATTTCTCATCTACCACTCACCACTGTCTGACCTCATAGGGCTGTTATTATGCTTGCTAGCCAAAGCTAAACTGTTGTCTGAAACCCAGGACGTTAAAGGAAAAAAGTCTGAGGAGCAGATCTGTAAAAAAAACTCGGGCTATCAGCAGACAAACAAACAAACAATATGAAAGCAAAATAGACTGGTGCTTATGTGGTGCAACTCCTGCAAAGAATCAAAAGCCCAGTTGAACCAGTGCAAATACATCTGATGTGCCGCAAAAGGCTTTTGGCCTTTCTTTATGAGGAAAACTGGCAAGCCAAATGAGTTTAGAACAACAACTACATGATTGAGAGACCAGAGTGTGATTTATGAAGAATGATTTCAGAAATGATCTCTATAGCTTGCTTAAGTAATGACGAAAGCCAAAAGTGACAGCTGGGAGAAGAAAACAGGTGAACAGCCTGGGTTTATTTGAAAAGTATAAACATCATAACAAGGGAAGAATTTTAGACCCATACAAAGGGAGCTAAGTTAAAAAGGAACATGAGGCAAAATATCAAGAAGCATGGTCAAGCTTGGGAATCATTTTGTCATGGCTTTGTCATGGACCAAAAAAAAAAAAAGAGGTCTAGACAAGGAAAAAGTGATAAAATATGTGGTAAGGGACAATCATGTGCTAACTCCTTGGAGAGGTCTGTGGGATCTAACATTCCTCCCCATCAGTGATGCTCAGGGCTCTTTTATATGGCCCTGCTGTAAGAGACACAGTGCCTCTGCAGTTCAGTATCTGCTGTGTCCCTGGACAGATCTCTACTTGAAAAGGTCCTTTATGGGAAGTCAAAGGATCTTCATACCAACTCCAGCACCATATAAACTCCCAGCAGGTCTCTTCCCTACTTCTACGGAGTCACAGTGGTGAGGTAACCCTCCATCCAACTTGCTCTAAGAGGCACAAGGACTCTTTGCTCAGAGTACAGCCTTAAACCACCAGTTAAGTTTCAGGCGATGGGCCGATTTCTGAAATCTACTCAAAATCTCACCAGCACGCAGGACATCTAAAAGTCTGCTAGTTCA